ATACACAGTGTGATAAGGCATGGTGAGGTTACCAGTTCTGACAAAAATGCAGCTACAAAATTCCTAAGTGAATTCAAAGAGTACATACAGACTGAAATTTTAAAACCCCAACAAGTGTTCATTTGTGACGAAACAGGCCTCTTTTGGAAGAAAATGCCAAAGCGGACCTACATTACTTTGGAGGAAAAGGCACTGCCAGGACACAAGCCTATGAAAGACAGGTTAACTCTCATGTTTTGTAGTAATGCTAGTGGGAATTTCAAAGTGAAGCCGTTACTAGTTTACCATTCTGAAAATCCCAGTGTGTTCAAGAAAAACAATGTCATGAAGAGTAAATTGTGTGTTTTGGAAAGCTAATAATAAGGCATGGGTCATGAGGAAAATTTTCCTTGATTGGTTCCATGAAGTGTTTGGCCCCAGTGTGAAGAATTACCTCCTGGAAAAGAAATTGGACCTCAAGTGCCTCCTGCTAATGGACAATGCACCTACCTGCTCATCCTCCAAACTAGGATGACCTAATTCTGGAGGAGTTTGGGTTCATCACAGTGAAGTTCTTGGCCCCTAATATCACTCCTCTCCTCCAGCCCATGGACCAGAAGATCATTTCAAAATTTAAAAAACTCTACACCAAAGCAATGTTTCAAAGGTGCTTTAATGTGACCACAGACACTCACTTGACTCTAAGAGAGCTTTGGAAAGATCACTTCTGTATCCTCCATTGCATAAGCCTTATAGGTAAGGCTTGGGAAGGAGTGACTACCAGGACTTTGAACTCTGCTTGGAGAAAATTGTGGCCAGATTGTGTCCACAAGAGGGATTTTGAAGGGTTTGGGGCTGACCTTGAGGAGCCTATGGCAGTTGTGGAATCTATTGTGGCATTAAGGAATTCCATGGGGTTGGATGTGAGTTTGGAGGATGTGGAAGAGTTGGTGGAGGACCACAATGAAGAGCTAACCACTGACGAGCGGCCAGAGCTTCAGATGGAACAGCAAGAGACTGCAGCTCAGAATATTGCTTCAGAGGAGGAGGAGGAAGAGAGATGGAAGAAGGTGCCTTCTTCAGAAATTAAGGAGATTTTTGAAATGTGGAGTAGGATGGAAAAATTTATGGAGAAACATCACCCTGACAAAGCTGTTGCAAGCCATGTTGGCAACATGTACAGTGACAAAGTCTTGGTCCATTTTAGGAAAGTTTTAAAGAGATGCCAGAAACAGAGCTCTCTGGACAAGTATTTCATACCACAGGTGTGCAGTGACTCTCAAGCTCGTCCTAGGGACATTAAAAAACAAAGAAAGGAAGTAACTCCAGAAAAGCACTTGGTACCTGAAGTCTTCCTTCTAAACAGTAAATAATAAACTCTCTCCCCTCCTCCAGTCTTCCATACACTAATAAGAATTGCCAATAAAGGTAAGTGTTATGCTGTTAATGTTTCATCCACCATGTCTCATTGTTTTGTGAATGTACTTCTATATTTCACGTAAAAAAAATTTTTGTTTTAATACGTCTGGGTGTCTGGAACGGATTAATTGTATTTACATTATTTGTTATGGGGAAAATGGTTTCGCAAATCGTCAATTTCGATAATAGTCACACTTTATGGAACGGATTAATTACGAAAAACGAGGGTCCACTGTATACTCATTTATACACCATAGGAAGGTTAACCTTCCTATGGTGTATAAATAAACCTAGTTGGAACAAATCTTATTGTACCCAGCTGGCCGAATGGCTAAGGCATCAGTCTGAAGTTTTATGAATCATTAGCCTTGAGTTCAATCCCCGCCCGTACCGTGGTTTAAAAAAGTGGACCTTTTATTGAAATGTTAAGTGCGTAAAATGACCTCAGTGAAATTCAATCTTGGATCAACATGTCTGAGGCTGATATGTAATACTGTACTGTGCAGTTTTTAGAGTTTTTTATTGCACAGGTTTCCCAACACACTCTAAAAGATGCAATATTTTACAGATAAAAGTAAAGCAAATTATCTAGTAGAAAATTAATTAATAATAATCCATAATTAATTTAAGCACTAAATTTGTATCTGTCATACAGTGTGCACTAATAAAGTTAAAAATCAAAAAATATATAGGCCACTGTTATAAGTCAAACAATATCAAAACAAGTACTATAGAGTAAAAAATTTGTACAACAAAATCATATATAATTTTTATATTGAATCACTGAGAGCATAAAAGTAATGCAATAATGTAACAAGTCATCCGCTTGGCCACAATTATTTATCAAAAAGAAAATAACGTGTAAAGTAATTCTTTTTATCTAATTGTAACTAAACGTTAGGATGTAATCAGTAAATATTTAGAAATCAGTCTAAAGTAATTTTAATGGAAGGTTCCTGATGTAATCAAAGTAATAGACAGCTCTCATGGAGATCTCTGCCAAGTAAAAATATTTCTGAGAATTTTTATTTATCTTTCCTTGTCATAGTACATGTACCAAGTTGAAGTCAGTAATCAGCAGATATAATAATTGCTTTTAACCCCTTGACTGTCGCAACCCCAAATCCTGAGGTGTCTCCTGGCGTCACAAAATTTCCGAAAAAAAAAAAAAATTTCTTATGAAATGATAGAGAATATTTTCCCGATTGTAATGACACCAAAAGAACGAAATTTGATGGAAAAAAACTGATGGAATTACGCTCTTGTGAAGTTAGCGACCTCAGCGATATTTACGAATCGGCAATTTTGCCCACTTTGAGCCCTATTTTCGTCTAATTCCATTGCTCCAGTCGACCAAAATCATAGCTATTTCTTTAGAACTACATTTTTTCTATCAATTGAGTACAAGAAACTGCCCATTTACCGATTTCAACTGAAATTTGGCTAATTTCACGAAAAATAAAAAAATATGACAATTTCAAAACAGGGTCCAGAATGAACGATTCAGACATTCCTGGCTCTAAAATAAATTTTTTTTTGTTCATCAGTCATGTCTCCAGGCCCCTCTGATATTACTCTTTTTTTCTATTTTGAATTTTTATTCAAACAAAAAATAGAAGATTTACTGTTATGCAGACTACTGCAATATTGTAATACACGTAATTGTATAAATAATGTCAACCCATTCATGATTGCATATTAGAATGGCTACTTGGACATTTATTGGAAAATGACATCACCTGTTTACTTTTGAACATCGGCAAAAATCAAACATTTCCCCTACTTTGAGCTCCATTTTAAGGTTCTTTTCATAGTAAAACCAATGAAAATCACCTCTATTTCTATAACATGTTTTCCATTCTATCAATGAGACCAAGAAAACGAGAATACAGTGGACCCCCGCATAACGATGGCATCGCATAGCGATTTTTCCGCATAACGATTACTTTTATCGCAAAATTTTTGCCCCGCATACCGATTAAAAACCCGCATACCGATTTTCGTCCGAGACGCGTCCAATGTGCCCTCAGCCAGCCTCACATGTGCCGCTCCGTCCCATTGTTTACCAGCCAGCCTCCGCGGTAACATCCAAGCATACACTCGGAATATTTCGTATTATTACAGTATTTTCGGTGCTGTTTCTGGAAAATAAGTGACCATGGGCCCCAAGAAAGCTTCTAGTGCCAACCCTGTGGTAAAAAGGGTGAGAATTAGTATGGAAATTAAGAAAGATTTTGAAGGGTTTGGGGCTAACCCTGAGAAGCCTATGCCAGTTGTGGAATCCATTGTGCCTACTTCAAAGATTAAGGAAATGTGTGCACAGTGGGTTGAACTGCAAACCTTTATAGATGAAAATCACCCTGACACAGCTGTTGCAAGCCGTGCTGGTGACTATTTCAATGACAATGTTGTGGCCCATTTTAGACAAATCGTAAAGGAACGGGAGGTACAGAGCTCTATGGACAGATTTGTTGTGCGACAGAGGTCCAGTGACTCTCAAGCTGGTCCTAGTGGCATTAAAAGAAGAAGGGAAGTAACCCCGGAAAAGGACTTGCTACCTCAAGTCGTAATGGAAGGGGATTCCCCTTCTAAACAGTAAGAAGATAATGCTCTCCCCTCCTCCCATCCCATCAATCATCACCAGATCTTCAATAAAAGTAAGTGTCATTTAATTGTGCATGCCTTTTTCAGTTTGTGTGTATTAAAATTAACATTTCATGTGGTAAAAAAAATTTTTTTTCATACTTTTGGGCGTCTTGCACGGATTAATTTTATTTCCATTATTTCTTATGGGGAAAATTCATTCGCATAACGATTATTTCGCATAACGATGAGCCCTCTTGCACGGATTAAAATCGTTAACCGGGGGTCCACTGTACAACCATAAATACCATACGAAAATAGACCACGAAGTTGGCATTTTAATTAAAAAACTGTCGGAGTTTTTTTCTTTCTCATTATGCACTGCATGCTGCAGGATTTTTTTATATGGTGCACACTGACCACACAGACCCATTCTCTCACATGTGGGCCTACCAGCTTTCTCCTTCTTGATTTGAAACCGCTAGAATTTATGAGTATATATACGTCAAACACGGTGGCTCATAAGATGTATATATATGACCGAAACAGTCAAAGGGTTAATATAATGATACAGAGTTATGCTTCAGTGCAAAATTAAGAGCAAAGAATTTTTTTTTTATATATTCTTCAAAAGAGCAGAGGTCAAAGAAAGATGTTTACTAAGCCCACTACCACGTCACACACAAACATGCACACTTTTTTTTAAAGCCTTTTAACTGCCACACACTGTTTATTTCACTTAAACTAACTTATAAACTACCAATCTATATACAGTGTGGGGTAGAAAACCTATTTTAGTCAACACAGAACTATAAAATTTTTCTCAGGTCTTGTACACAACAGAGGCCTCACTTTCCCAATCCTTGTACTTTAATTACAATACAGCAACAATACTACTGACAATCAAGTACTTGTGTAACCTCTCTCTTGTCATTTAAATTAAATGATGAATATGATCACTAAGATACACAGTATATTTTGACAAGGCAGTAGCTCTCCACACCAAGCATCATACTTACATCTGCAACGTCCACTGGCTGGTAGTATTGGCATGGGAAGACAGGAAGTCGTTAGTAAATGCACACAAGTAAACAAAGGACACCACCACCACCACCATTATAAAGAATCAAACAAACAAACAAAAAAAAAAAGACACTTGGAAGCCTAAGAACTAAAGCAAGTGATACATGGAAACCACAACTTTTGATATACAAGTAGTGCAATAATTATGTCACAAAAGCAGCAGCATGGACAGAAGCAAAAAATATACATACACACTACAAAACTACATCATAAAACAAGGATAATTAACAAGACAAATGCTTAGTGTCCTTTTAGACTAAATCTTGCTATAAATTTCTTAAACTGTTAAGAATTAGCATTTAGATATACAGTATGCAATCAAATACTCACATGAACATAGCCTATGAAGGTACACTTAAAATTCATTAACATTCTCATAGTAATTTATGTTTTACTTTAATTTATATATGTACATAAATGATCGTACAAGTACATTAAGAGATTGGTAGACAACAACCATCCAGATACTACAAACCCATCACATGAGTGAGAAATGAAAATTTTAAAATTCTCCAATATTGGGAAGATTAAATTATTATTACATTCATGGGACAGCACTAAACTTATAGAGATCATCTAGTGCCTGGGGAAACGGGAGGCATTCAGGTTCAATCCAAAGATGACAGGAGCAGGTCCAATTCCTAGTGGTAAAATTAAAGGTTTCCATCTCGGCTTTCATTCCCTCAATAAAAAACATCTCAGTATTACATGTATCTTTACCCCACAGCTCTCTACAGATGGTCTGTCAAAAAACTACTACTGTATATCAATCCTTGTTTGTCTGTTTATAGAAAAATATTAATTTGTTTCAAGTGAGAATCCTGTCATTTCCACAAAACTACCAACACAAAGGTTGCTCAAAATGGAAAACTCATGCACATTATATTATTAACTTTTCAACTGCTATGATCATCAATTAGTGATAATGTATAACAAATTACTCTCATCAAATGGTAATGCATAATTTCCCAGGCTGGTTTTGGAGGATCAGGTTCTCAAGAAGCCCATACATGATCATAATAATCATGAAAATTTCCCACAAAACTTCCTACAGGTGTGATAAACTCCTTAAACAAGGAAAAATATTTATCATTTTAGTATTATTAGCTACCAGAACTAGTATATTATTTGACACATTCTGTTTGTTTGTGTTAAATCAACAGTTGGTGCCCACCTTATCTGAATTATCTTTCAAACTTTTACACAACCTTTCCTCTTGACATACAGTACATGAAATGAATCAGCCAGCACAGAAGCTTGACGAAAAATTATAGTCGTTAGTACTGTTACACAACACACCACTCCCATTACCAGCTACCACCATTGCCTTCATGCTGAACATCTTAAATATCCTGAGTAGCAGTGAAACCAAGAGTACAATACTTGGGTCACCTAAATAACTAGTCTTACTAATGACTGATATATCTTTTTTGAATAATTTAAAGGTTAAAGCTACCAACCATCATATTTTTAAGCAAGTACCCAAAAAATTTTGAATACTAAAGTATACAATGCACAACTGATAATTTAAATTCAAACTTCAAAAGTTACTTTAAATATTTTAACACTATCCATAGTACTGTATATTAAAAAGTAAATTTATCCCATGTGAGTAATAATTAATTAAAGAAATGAGGCATGATCTGTTTTAAAAGCTGAATTTACATAACTATAAGCAAGCACTGTATGCTCAACAAATATGTACTTGTAAAGAACTTAGACAAAAACAAAAGCACATACCTTGAAAGTGTACAACTGTAAAAGACCTTAAGACTACACACACTCTCCTAGCATTAGTCCTTAATGAGACTTTCTTTCTTAATAAGCTTATTAAATTTAACTTTCAAAATGACTTACAAAAGCCATTATAACATCCTAAGGAGAAATTTTTCTTATTTAAAACAAGGTTTAAAGACATTCTAATTCATGCCATTTTCCACAGAAATGTGTGGCTGTGCAGCACTGTATGACCCTGGTGGGTTTAGAGCTTAGTTTTGATTATAATAATAATGTGTGTGGCTGTAACCTATAAGTAAGAAGGGCAAGCTACTTCATGAGACTGGAAAGGCTGGAAGGCTCAATACATTGTAATCCTGAATTCTATACTTAAAAACACCATCCCACTACATTTACAATTTACAACCTTTCAATATATGTACAGTAGAATTTGGATGCAATGTGTGAATGAATGTCATTTGCAGTAACATGTTAAACTCTAAAATAGCCCACACAAAGTACTGTATAAAATACCAGGTGCTCTTTACTGATACACTCACAGCATGGACATCCTTATTTTTTGCACGTGCACGATCCAAGTTTTTATTGGCCTGCTCATAATTTGCTAGACATCGAAGTCGACGATATAAAAGGTCCTTTGCTGCACTTCCATCTCTAACATAGTATCGTAGAGTATCTGAAAGCTTCAAGTCTTCATCTGATGCTACCCTGCCTTCTACTTTCTGTTTGGAAATTGATAAGTTATATGCATTTATATATTTAAATTAAAGTAAGCCTCTAGCAATTCAGTCTGTCATAACTACCTTAGGTTAATTTATAGTATTTTTTTTTCAATGTAAACATTTCAATGAGTTTTAATTCTACCATAAGAAATTCCAAATCATACTTACCCTAGCCTTTTCAAAAGTGTCAGCAACCTTATTAATGAATTTCTCTAATCTAGGGCCCTCAATGGTCCCAAGTTGTGATAAGCCAGAGGAAAGTTTGATGTAAGAATCAGCCACATCTGCCAACAATATACTCAATTGTTTACACATGCTGACATCTGTTGCAAATGATCCCTAATGCAGAAAATTATATCTAAACTTGATTACTCATAAAATATTTATAACAACATGCTCTAACATTACACTAATTACCAAAATTAAAAATTTAAACAAAATTACTTTCCTTCTCATCACAATAGCTCCTTATTTCTTATCCCACAATTTTACGGTGTTACCCTTGCCTATTATACATACAATCTTTTCTTCAGTCCCTGATGTAATGAAAAATGACTAAATGTTCTTAGGGTACATAAAACAAACTATGTGCCTATGTGCTTACTTTTGTGTGTCTGAGTCATTTTATCAGCTTTAACTGTTGAATCCTTAATTGCTGTGTGATATTCAAGCAGAAAACCTTTTTCTTTCTCGAAGTAATCATCCACATCCTTCTGTGTTGCAGACAAGAGGATTTCATCTGTTGATTTATTGAAGCTCTTGAAAAGCCCTTCTACCTTCTCTTTCTTGTTCTTGGTTCTCACAGAGAGCTGTAAAATCAAAGATGCTTATACAGGAGGGCCCTGCTTATACAGCAGGTTAGGTTCTGGGCTACTGTTGTAAAATGAAAATCACTGTAAAGTAAAACATTGCCTTTTTTTTCCACTTTCAAATGCATAAAAAAGCCTGATAACATGTTTACCTTATTATATAGTAAGTGAATAATAGAGCTAGGCCTATATAATGCATATACAATGGAACCTCGAGTTTTGGTCGCCCCAAGTTTTGACTGTTTTGAGTTTCCGTCACTTTTTTCGGCTAAATTTTGTCTTGAGTTTTGAACAGTACCTTGAGTTTTGGCTGCCATATCAGATCTGTCTGCCTGCCTGTGCCTTCCCACGCCCACACAAAGCATCCCACGCATGCGTTGAGAGTCAATCTGGCTTTGTTTCTCCTCGAGAAACTTCCCAGTGCCAGCCCTTTGGTAAAGAAAGTGAGAAACACGACAGAATTTAAGAAGGAAATTGTAGAAAAGTATGAAAGTGGAGGAAGAGAGAGGGGAGAATGTGCCTTCTTCAGTG